TTGTCTGCTTTTCCTTTATAACTGCTTGCCCGTGCAATGTCACAAGCCTTTTGTGTTTCAGTTTACAGCTATTAAAGTCCTACATTCATGAGACACAACCCCATCTCTCTCTGCAGTTATATCTTGCACAGCTTTCCATTTAGGATCAGGAGTCAACAGATGCACTTAAAATGTCATTAGATGCCTTTGATCTTGACAGTAAAATTATGAAATATCAAAATAATGGCACAACAATTTTCTCTCAAAATGACTAAAATGTGCCTCAGATTGATGTCATTTTAGGGATTTACGTCATTAGAAGAAAGAAAAAATTAAACATATGTTAATAAATGTCTTACCCTGTCAGTCTGTCTGTCTGCCTACAGCCTGTCTGCCTGCTCTGCATTCACATTTTCACTGCCTACAGTCATTCATGAAAACCGCCGGAGCGAGATGTGCAGGGACGGTGAGAGAGAGAGAGAGAGAGAGAGAGAGAGAGAGAGAGAGAGAGAGAGAGAGAGAGAGAGTGCAGGAGGAAGAGGAAGGAAAGTGGGAGGAGGAGTGAAGCTGTGACAAAATGTTCTCTCATTATCCTTCATTCATTATTCTTTCATCCTGCATCCCTCCATCCTCCTCTTCTTTGCCCGTTCTTTCTTTCCTCAAACGGCATTTTTCCCCCTCCTCTTCTACTCTGTCTCTCGCTTCTGGGTGCCGTTTTCCCCTCTTTCTTTACACTCACTTCCTTCTCTTTTTCTCCTGCTACTGTTTCTTTTTTTCTTCTTCTTTTTTTAGGGAGGAGAGAGGAAGAGTGGCGAGTTACCATGGCAACAGCAAGCTGGCTGCAAGCTACCTGTTCGGTGGTTTGCAGAGGAAGAGAGACAGAGAGACGGACTGAAAGAGAGACAGAGGGGTGTCTCTCTCTTTTCTAAATTTTTGTTATTGTCAACAAATTCTATGAAAAGACCGAAACCAACAGAGGATTGATCCTACTAACTAAGTATTGCCTGTGGAGCCAAAGCCTGATATCTTTCAATCAATCCCAATGTTGCACTGGGTGACATGTTCCTTCATTAGCATTAACACTGTAGGTTATTCTGACTCAATCCCACACACACACACACACACACACACACACACACACACACACACACACACACACACACACACACAGTGTTGTCCTGCTGCTGGAAATACTCACTAGAACACCAAATGTGTAATAATCCCCAGCTGAAAATAGTCCCCAACAAATGCACTTCTTACTCCTGTTTGAGCAACGTTAGCTCAAAAACTACAGTGCCTGTCTGTTGCAGAAAATTACTGAGCCTTTAAAAACAAATATATATATATATATATATATATATATATATATAATATTGTGACCCATTTTTTAAAGATTTACATCTTCAGTAGGAACCAGTGGGCTTGAGGCTAAGAGCCACAGACAGGTTGGGAAAGTCGGAGAGAGTTTCCAGACGGACAAACCCATTTATGGTTTTGGTCTTTTCAAGGGATTTGTTGACAAGAAAAACACATAAATACATTCTTGTCCTCAAAGTACCCCCCTCCCTTTCTCTCTCTCTCTCTCTCTCTACTAACTCTATTATATCTCTCCACCTGTCTCTCCCATCTTCTCTCTCTGCCTCCTTCTTTCTTCTCTCTCTCTGTTTCACTCAGAAGGAAGTGAATACCCACCAAGTACAACGCCACAGGCATGCATCATTATACCTGACCTTCCACTCCTCTACACAGTGGGTGAAGAGGGTGAGAGCGGCAGAGGAAAAGAGGGACCGACGGGGAGAGAGACCGAGAGAGCAGGAGAAAGAGACAAAGGGACAGAGAGATATTAAACTGTAGATGGATATGCACGAAAAGGAGGGGAGAGGCACCCAGTGACGAAGCGGTTGCTATGCCAAAAAACCAGGAGGACCGAACGCGCACGTGCACATTCACATTCACACATGCAAATACACACCAACACACACACACACATGCACGCAAAGTAAACAAGGAGGAGGCTCGGTTGAGACGAGTGGAAGCAGGAGTGTCAGAACGATGTTGCAGAGGATGACCACAGCATACTAACAGCTCTGACAGCACGCACACACTCGCACACAAGAAGACGACGCACACAAGCAGAGCTGACTGCAAGAGATAGGCGAGGGCGATAGCGAATGTGATCATAGGAAGACAATGTTCTCGACGTCAAATCTTGTTCCTGCAGCATTTTCTCCCTCAAAACCCGAATATGTGTCAAGAGAGAATCTGTGTGTGTGTGTGTGTGAAAGTGCTGCATGTCTACATCATCCAGCGTAACCTGTGAGTTATGACTTCTGGCATGAATATGCAAAACTGTTCAAGCGTCGAGGGAACCTGCATGCAGAGAACAACATGTTGACGCTTTCCTACTGCAGTACCGGGTTTCTTGATGACTGTGTGCATCAGTTCTCTTATTACGTCCTTTATTACTTGTTTTTTAATCATGACCAAAGTGGATTAAATCTGTTAAATTAAAAAAAGGGATGATACCTCCTATCCAATTTCACCTGGTCATTCTAGGGCATCATACACTAAGATGTCCCTTTTCATCTGTGAAATTAAAGATTCTACCTCGATGCTGTAGAAAAAAGTACATTTAAAAAATGTTTCTGCACAGTTTTGCTCAAATATGTTTTCATAACTTTGAATCTGAAAGGAAGAGGATGAGATTTGGTGTTTATTTTCTTATTTTATAATAAAAAGGATTGGTATGCTAGTCGGGTTTTCGTCAACAATCGTATCGTAACATTACTGTCTATATTTAAGTGCCACAAACATCAGCTCTAATCAATCAATGACGTATCCGACATCTAGCTAAGGTAAAGTTACCTACTCAACTACTTGGGTTTGAATTCTAGGTTATTGGTTAGTGTTTGCTGTCATTGGTCATTGTGCAATAACATATTTAGAACATGGACTCTGGTGCCAGGCTGAAGCTAACTTTAAACAGCTGAAGAAACTTCACGGTCAAACATCAAGGCTAATAACTGTCCAGTTTAAGCTAATGCAATGACATTTTCTCCATAAATATAGTTTTATAATGTACATTCATTTTAGAAAATGTAAGGAGACTGTTTTCTGTTTACAAAACTTAAGAGACGTGCTGGTAAAAAGCCACATATAAGCTAACATGGTGGCCCATTTGAGCATTTATTTGCAGAGATATTGACAAATCAAAGTTACAAGCCATTTTTTTCATACTACTTTTACAACTATGAAGCAGTGATTGCAGAGGCAAAATTATACTGAACTCAAACGAGACCACAGTTCACAGTTATTTTGCATTTTCCTTCAGTCTATTTTCCCACGACTCTCACTTTTACAACTGTCACAGGAAAAACCAACTCCACTGAGAACACAGAATGTGTGAATCTGTTTTTTTTCCCCTCTAAGGCATTAAATGTGTAGAACAAAACCTTTTTTTAACTTTTACTACAAGGAACCAATGACGACAGTGACAAACAGAGAAAATTAAGATTCCTTTTAAGCATACACATCTCGTACTGTGTAGTGTGCAAACAGCTAGCTGTGTGTGTATTTTCATGTATTATATTAATATTTTTCCCCTAACAGCGATGATTAATTTCCAATACAATCTCATCCTGGGGGTTAATTATATTTAATTTGAGATTATTTGTTAGAGAACTTTTATATTGAGGTCATAAATTTAAGTAAAACCGGGTAGCGCTTGAAGGCAATTGGCTGTGTGAACGCTACCAACAAGCACCTTACCTTCCCCACACTGACAGCACACTATAATTAACCTCCATCCAACCCTTCTTCAGATTCATTCCCACTTACTGATCATGTGACCTTTTGAACAAGGCTGCAACTAACAATTATCTCCATTGGTAGTTCTATCCGTTGTTTTTGTGATTAATCAATTAGTAGTTAAATTAGTAAAATGCTGAAAAATGCCCAAAAGAAACCCCGAAATATTCAGTGTATAATGATATAAAACAAATAGAAGCAGCACATTCTCACATTTGAGAAGCTAGAACTAGAACTTGTGTGCAGCATTAATGACGGTGTATTAATGAATGCGTGACCCCGGACGAGCCCCCAATTTGCCACAGCCCGGCTCAAGGCTGCACAAAGGAGGGGACACGACATGCATGAGTTGTAACTAAAAATAAGTTTACTTTACGTAACTGAAAGAGAAATTAAGCTAAAGACAAACAGAATTCAACAAAACCAAACAGGGTGGAAGCCAGGAGAGAGAGAGGAAGACACCCAATACAGTCCACCAATTCAGATGAGCTCCATCGCACTCAATATTGTTGGTCAATTTTCTGGCAATCAATTAATTAACTAATTGACTGAGCAACTTGACAGCTTGAGCACATACACATCTTGCACTTTGATTGCATAATCACCACTACTCCATAGGCTGGATGCCAGTCGCCTGTGTTTACATGTACCCCTTTAAATACAGCAAACTCTTTCACTACTTTGATGGCTCAGGATCAGTCTGGTCCAAGCCATGAAACATTCATGAAATCCCTGAGATACTGTAACTGTGCAAGTCCAAATACTTCTAAGGCAAAAACTAGGAAATATTATGCTGTCTATACTGATTTCGCCCAGCATTTTCATGCAGCGCTACCTCAATAACTCTGTTATGTTAAAAACATCCTTGAGGCTCAGTTGGCTAAGATGCATTTAATACCACTGCAATAAGTTTGAATCTGTTGCATATCATCACCTTACCTATCTCTTTCCTATTGTAGGGCAAAATACCCAAAATAAGCCTTCAAAACCACCTTCATCACCTCAAAAAGGTACCTTTACATCAGCAACTTCTAACTGTGCCCTTCACCACCAAGAACACAAAGATTATTCCTCATCGTTCTTCTTTTCAAGTACATGTATACGTTTCACGACCATTCAGTTACACCATGAAAAGCACCCTCAATAAAGCACCCAGTTACTCCAAACATTGCCCTCCACTTGTTCTCAGTTTTTAAAGCTTTGTTTTATCATACCTGTGACGTCGAGCGGTATAAAGTGGCCCGGTGTACGTCTCCCGAGGTGCCAGCGTGGTTTCTCTGCAACAGGCGGTCCGATGGTAGCAGAAGTAGCAGTGCTGCTGCTGCTGTTGTTACTACTCCAACCCAGCGGAGGGCGGTCTGAGCCGCAGGGCGACGGGGTCGGAGAGGGAGACGGGTCGGTCACTGACCTCAGTCCAAACACTGAGGAGGTGGTTTCATCTTCATAGAGCTGTTTGGATGCCGGCTAGACGAAGAAGAAGCTGAGTGTTAGACGTGGTGAACAATCACATCCAGCTAGTTCATACAGAGTAGAAGATTGTGAGAAATACATGTGTATCCGTCCTGATGTGTCCTTGAGCTTTTTAAGGAGCCTTAAATCTGCATTAATTGATTCTTTTTGGCCACATGGGGCCAAGCTACAAGCTGTAAACACAACACTGACATTAACGCCTTATAAACAGGATATGGTGAAGGTGTTATTTACACATCTCGCAGATACATTTGGAGACGTGTCTCTGGCTTCAAGGCAATATTCACCCTCCTTTAAGCTCTTCTGGGCTCCACCAACTCCTGAGGGAAATATCTGGGTCTGTAGCTGCTAAATGCTCCACTATGTTCACCAGCTAGTGAACTGTGTAGGGCTGACCAGGTATTGTGCAATGGGTTCATTACTGAAAATAGCTGCCTACTGCTGCTGAGAATGAGGTTGATGAGAGCAGTGACAGTGAACCAAAACTGTAAGAGTGCGGGCGATGAATGAGCTGAAAGATGCAAAAACATGATAATTCATTGTAGGATTTTCACTATGAGCACCTTTCACATTACATGTAGTCAATTTTCCATTATTAATATTAAAATATAGATCAGTGCAGCTTTAGAAAAGAGCTTTGACAAATGCAAACATCACATTGTTTCTTGTATTCACACAATTATATTATTGAGATTGAGGGTTAAGATGTTTATGGCTTGAAAGAAACTCTTTGAGAATGGTTTTAGTCACCTAAATTGCCCTAAAAACACAAATTCACAATTATTTCTGGTCAGTTTTCTCCTGAAACTGTATTGTAAAACAGATGTGTGAGGAGAATTGTGTAGGATTTAATGTCATCCTGCGCTAAAGTTGCAGTTTGCAACCAACTGAACACCGCTCGCGTCTGATTTTGATGACCTGAGAATGACAACAGACTGTAAAGTGTGTTGAATAAACTAGGGAGGCCATGAAACTCGCAAAAACACACAAAAGACCCTATCTAGAGCCAGTGTTTGATTTGTTCGATCATGGCTACTGTTCAAACATTGCGGTTCAACATGGCGGACTACATGACTGTAGATATAAATGGTTCATTCTAAGGTAATTAAAACACAATGACTGATATATTTAGATGATAATACACTAATGAAAACAATATATTCCATTTCTGGCAACAGATCCTCCTCAATGTTACACACTGGACCTTTAATGCAGTCTGACCCAAGATCTTCCAAACTTGATTTCCTCTCAGTGACATCTCCGCTCAGATTCAATTACCTCTGCTTTTGTAACATCTCGTTTTATACTTTTTAACTTCTTTGAAAGGTTTTGTTTTTCTATTATGCCAGAGCCATTTTGAAAATTAGACAATAGGGTTGTTGTTTTTCTTTTTTTTTCTTTAAACTGTTTTATTGGCTGAAACACAAATAACTAAATAAACTCTGAATTCAATTCAAGCAAAAATCAATACAACCGAAGACTTGGAGGAAGCGAGACAGCCTGACGGAGGTCATCTCCCCATCTACCTCCACCAAAATAGATTGTTATGTCCTTCTTTAAACTGCTTCAACGCCAGTGAGAGGGAGGGACAGGTAAGTAGATAAGAAGCGAGGATTGGGAGAAAGAGTAAGAGAGAAAACTAAACACAGCACACTCCTCAACTTCACCTGTCTTGTAGTAAGAAGAGAGAATTATTGTAAAAGAACGAGAAGATAAATGTTACAATACTCAAAGGTGATGATTTACATTTTTATAGCTGTTGCAGGAAAGTAGAAAACACAGCCAGGAAGCAGAAGAAGAGGACGTGAAGAGAAAAGGCAGAAATATCTGTTTAGATCTGATTAGCCGGCAGGGACAGAGGCTGACAAGCAGCAGAGCATCGCTGGTTCAGTTACGGGAAGGTGTAATCCCAGCTGGGAGGCAACCGGCATCTGTCAGCCGTCTGGTATTAAATCTAAGGTATCAACTACGCTGCCAAAGAGCCCTTAAGCAAGGCACTGAAACAGCTTCGAGGTCGCTGCAATGCAGGGATCCTCTCCAATGAAATACATGTGTGTGTGCGTGTGTGGGTGTACTGTAGACATTCAAATCCAAACTGTCTTGTGGGAATCTGCCAAACTCTAATTGAAATTAGCCCAAACAGAGAGAGAGGCATTAACTTAACAGAGCTGTTTAACAGCTTGCTGAAGGAACGGCGCGTCAATATGCAGCGAACGTGCAGCCATCTTGCAGTAAAATCACTGCAGGAGTCCATCAAGCTGCCATAATGGTACAGTTCGGGGAAATAGCCTGAGAACTATTAGCAGAAAAAGCAGAGAAGGAGAGTGAAAACGGAGAGCTAGCTGCAGAGAATGAGTCTGTTTGATCACTTTTGATTCTTATAACATAACAGAACAATAAATCAGTTAAATTACAACTGCTTAAGCCCTTTTACAACCTGTCTTATATTCCAAAACCAGTCAATAAGCAGTCTGAGTTGACTGCACTGATGTCTATTAGTGATATTTCCATCTGACACTAAATGATTTGGCGTTTGTTTATGGAAACCTGCTGAGAGTGTGAAAAGGATGATGACTAATTCTGACAAATCTAAAAGAGGGGGTGGGATATACTGCACAGTGTAGTTTTTGGATAATTGAGCTTTAGTCTGTTATGTGAAAGGGCCGATAACAAAAGCAAAGAGGCATTTTGTCACAACACACATTTCAGCTCAAACAGTATTAGTGACACTGATTTGTTAGCTACACAGGGAAAGAATAATGCTGCTGCATCGTGTTACTGATTAAAGGCTGAAAGTACAGTATTCCCTCAGTAAAGGAGAAGCCATGCAACAAAAAAGATGATGTAGTCACCCCAGCGGCCAATCAATAAGACTTGTATCTCATTAATCCTCAATATTTTTAGCCCTAATTGATTTTGAAACAATGTTTTAGTGGTACACAGTCATATTTACATACACAATAGGTGTAAAAGTACTCATTCTGCAGTAAAATGGCCCCTGTCTGTGTTTTACTATTATATGTTAGATGTTTTTGGATTATTATCACTAGCTGCAGATGTTTAAGGTTGAGCTGACTTGGCTACTTTACATACTGTTGGGTAGTTTAACCTTCAGCAATGCATCATATTGCGGTTGTGATATGATTCACAATTAGTATAAACTATTAAAAGCACTATGATGTGACTGTTATTGAGGTCTGTACCAAACAAACATGTTTCCTTACATCTGGAAAAGAAGATTTGTAGGCCAAAGCATCACTGCAGGACTACAGTACTTCATTATAATGCAGTTTTTTTTTGTCACACATTATCAAAAACTTGGATATTATGTTGATTAATGTTTGATTAATGGCGTAGCCCTAATATTCTATAAGATATTCTATTACATCATCTTACGTTTGAAGCTTCACAGCCCTGTTTTTAGCTTTGTGACAATGCATTTGGCAGCTAATCCAACAGGATTTTTATATAGTTTATTTCGCTTAAGACCCATAAAGGAAAACTTCATCCTTCAGTTTATCAGAAATTCTGAATCACCCAGTTTGGAGAAACATGGTTTTCACTGGACAGGAAGGGTTTTAAAAACTGTATTCTGAAAAGTAAAAGTACAATATTTGCCTCTGAGATGTAGGGGAGTAAAAGTATAAAGTATAAAAAGTACAAGTACCTCAAAATTGAATTTAAGTACTGTACTTGAGTAAATGTTCTTTCTAAGACTCAACATCATCTGGTGTTTTCTGCATTACGTGATATATAGAGGTAAATAAATACATTGAATGGCAAGGGCGGAAATATTCTAGCCATAAATAATGAACATTCATCAAATAAAATGGATTGAAATCAAAATAACATACTATGTGAAGTATTATATTACAGATGGTTAAAATCAAATGAATAAGTGAAGGGACAGAAGATGGATTTATACTCCCTATAACAAGGTTGTAAATAACTTTAAGGTAGTGCAAACCACTCACTCTCACTAAGCTAAGAAAGAAAGAAACCGTAGTGCAGAAATAAAGAGTGGAGGAGAGAGAGAGAGAGAGAGAGAGAGAGAGAGAGAGAGAGAGAGAGAGAGAGAGACTAAGGGCAATAAGGGCAGAAAGAGTGGGACGGAGCGAGTTAGCGTGAGGCTGCTCTCTGTTGCCATTCGGAGAGAAAAGTGAGAAAGATAAGTGAGGTGGACATGGTTCGGTTTCTAAACGTGTGTGTGTGTGTGTGTGTGTGTGTGTGTGTGTTTTGTGCCTGTGGAAATACATGATAAAACAAGAAAGGTGGAAATTATTTGTGTTCGTGCTCAGTTGTAACAGAAGTGTGGCCTCACATAATCTTTTATAAATATGTTTGTTTACCAGGGAGATGACATTTGGTGCAAGGGAGCCTTATGATCAAATAAGTTTGTGTGTGTGTGTGTTGTTGTTGTTGTTGTTGTGTGTGTGTTTACCAGGAAGATGAAGTCAGGTCTCTTGTTGTTGAGGGAGATGGGCGATCGGCTGAGCGAGGTGGACGTGTCGTCAGAGCTCTGCGAGGACGGATGCCGGAAAGTCTGACCGGTCAGCTTGGTGTCGTACAACTGCTCCTCAAAGTCTGCACAACACACACACACACACACACACACACACACACACACACAAACACAGCATCCAACGGCACACAAACAAACAAAGACACAAATGGAATAAGTTAGCGTCAACTTTCTGCAGCACGGAACCACAACATGCACACGAGAATTAGAAGTAGCACTGACACACACACACACACACACACACACACACACACACACCAGATACCCTATTTGCATGGCCACAGAGCAGAGATCTAGTGCGACTGCTGCTTTGCATCACCCTGCAGTTTCCCCTCCTGTGACTCCCTAGTGCAACTTCTGCAGAGGAACCTTAAAGGACTTCCATAAGTTTTGTTTTTAATCCTCTCATGAGTTGCGGGGCTTTCACTCCTTCTCTCTCTCTCTCTCTGTTTTTCTTTCTCTTTCTTCCTCTTCTTCCTCTCGATATCTGACTGTTTCTCCCTCTCTGGCAGCTTATAGACGACTCTCCCTCAGGCCATTGTAAACAGATTCCTAACCCCCAACCCCCCCACTCTTTATTTCTCCTGCTGCACACACACACATACACACACTCCCCCTCACAACCCTCTCAACCAATCCTTTACCCCCAAAACACACTCCCGACCCACTCCCCACTCATCCCTTAAGCCCTCTAACTCTCACACACACACACACACACACACACACACACACACACACACACACACACTCCCAGCACCATCCCGCTGACAGCTTTAGAGGCGCAGCAGCGTCAGTGAGGTATAGAGTTTTAGGTTGAACTTGCTTCCCGGGACAATATGGATTCCTTCCTGGTGCCGTATGGTTGCCTAGCGACACTAAGGAGGGGCCTCCTCACCCACCCCATAATAGTAACCTCTGTGTATTGATATTGGGGAATGCTAACAGCACCAGAAAACAAAACATTAAAAGGTGCTACATTTAGTATTCAAGCATCAATCAGTATATTAATAATCACACAATCATCAGTCAGATTTTACTGAGGGAGGGGTTTATGGCACAAAACAGAAGAGAAGGTGCTGTAAAAGACAGATGGCGTCTTTATCTTTAAGTCTTTATCCTCAAAAAGTAAAAAAAAACAACCTCTGTTGTGACATAAAAGTGACAATTAGATGTATCATAAGCACAAAGCGTATGTTTTAAAGTAGAGGATAGGAGAAAGTTCTGACCAACTGTGACTGGAGCACAGGGTAAAAATGAGCGGGACTTGGTACGAGTCAATTTAAGATCAATAGACAATTGATTAACTAATAAGAGGAAACCAAGTAGATGTATTCAAGGGAATAAGTTCCCTTTTTTTCCACTTCCATCTGAAACAATAAGTCGCTTAAATACATTTAATGAGTACTTTTTAAGCAAAAATGACCCAAAAAATAAGATTCAAAGTGAATATTTGCCTTTTTTTCTTAGTATTTCTGTGATAATAAACTGATTGCAACTGAAAGATGTCACATTGGGCTACGGCAAACTGAAGTGGACATTTAATCTGACTGAATGATTCAATAAAGGCAGTAATTACTATTTGCAGCCATAATAAAAAGGTAAAAGAGATTAGATTAGTAATATTAGTCCACTTACATGAGAGAATATTTACATTGGTATCGAGAATTGAGTCATTTTTCTGTGGAATTAGAATATTCTTATGTAAATCACTACATGAACAATGTTGCTCTTACTGAAGTACCAACAGATACTCTGCAGTTCCCCTCCACTCTGTGTAGCTTTATAGCATCTTTTAGCTCGTTAACTGGTTTCAGACAAAGTTAGCAACTAGCTGGGGAACATTATTTGTCTCTGGAGATGGTGGAGACCAAAAACTGAGCAAAAAGAGAGTAAATGTTGACACTAAATGAATGCTAAAGCTTCTCCGCTGGTTAAGTAAATAGGCAACTTTATACAGAGTAATGTAATTCTAATACAAACTGGAAGAGAAAGCAGCACACATATTTTGTTTTCTTGCTGTGGAATTTGCTCATTATTCTCAGTCTTACTGGTCAGTGTGCAGTTAAAAAAGGACCTGCTGAATTATCTTGGCTTCATTTTAGTGACTACAGGACTTCTCAGGGTTAGGATCCCTACGGTAAAAGCCCTGGAATTTAACAGGGTGGATTGCATCTGCTTTTTAAACTCTGTAAGCTATAATGGCCCGGCGCACTCGCCTTTACACCTGGTAAACACATTCACAAATGTAGGAAGTTTACATAAAGTTTGGCAGGTGTCAGATTGAAGCGAGCCCAGGCAACGTGGGAGTGTTTTGGAGTCATGAATAGAAATTAATAGCACCAGCACAAAACACAAAAAGCTAATGATGTGTTCTTATATGAGGCCAGGCAGTCCACCCACCCACTGTTTTGGTGCTGTTTTTAATGGCATTTGGGATCATTGCTGTTGAAGTCTTCCTTCTGTTAAACTAAAAAAACTGCCAGCAGCAAGAAAACCTCTATAGGAACTCACCCCGAAGTGTAATTATGCCTCTAAACTTTAAAAAGGAAACACAGGACATCCTTCGCATGCACCGAAACTCACAACCTTCAGCATGGATTAAGATACATACTTATCTACGTCAGCTGTCATTTTCAGCTCAGCCACTGTGCATTTTTGGAGGTTATTCAGTCGGGTTGGAAAGGGTTTTTATAAACTCGAGGATGGTACACATCGTTTCACAGAGGGATGTAAACCATGACAATGAAAAACTGGAGCAAAGAGGTTTTCACACGAAGAGGATTACACATTGTAGGCTGCTCCTTGTTTGGTGTCCCTGAGGTGACACTGAGAACAATTTTCCACCATATGTTGACAGTTAAGTTTTATTCTCTTGTGCTTTTTTGTGGGCAAACGCGAACAGCGAGCGGGAGGAAATGAGGGGCTTGGAGGACAGGAAAAGAAAGGAGAGCGATGCGGCGGCGAAGGACAACAAGACAAGACACGAGCTGCTTGGGTGGCCCGAGACACTGCAGAAGAAGAAAAGAGGTGGAAGGATCTTTTTTTGGGAACAAGGAACAGGATCTGACTAAGCAACCAGCCTCCTTCCAGCACGAGGCCAGCACGCCTGTGCAAACTCCAGCCAGTTTAATGTGGTTGGAATTAATGCTTCCACGCCAAAGACTTTCTCATTAATCCCAATGAGCATCATGCAAGTTCCGAACTCACAAACAGTTAGTGTAACACTGCTACAACATGACTCATGTAAGCTGCAGTGTAGAGGCATTTATTTGACAAGAAATGTACCCAGCGGTGGATCTAGAGGGGTGGCAGAAAATGTCTTGCCACCCTAGTTTGATGTTGAATGATGTCAAATTTAACACAATTATTTAGATTAATTTCCAAAAATACATGTTAAAAATTATCTGATCGGCCAAGTTTTAGACTAAGTGGTTAAGATCAATAGTTAATAAATGGTTTACAAATGCTTTACAGTCCATTTGACCTCTGACCTGGACAACAGCTGCAGGACATCTACACCAAACTTCATTCACTACCTATTTATTAAAATGTACAACTGCAGACTTGATGGATTGTTATACGAATCCGTTACTGATTACTTTTATTTACTACATTTATAACCACAGAATTGGTGGTTTTATTAGAAAGTGATAAACTAATTACCTTTTTTATTTAATGAAGAGTTTGACTTTTGGGAAAAAAAGATAGGAAGATGATAAGTTCAATGCCACTCTCATATCTGTAATCTAGCCAAGTAGCTTAATTAAACAAGTTTGTTTCCGTGTTTTTTGTTATTTATCTGGTGAGCTTTAGGTGGATTTTGCTACATTAGAGCCAGGTTGGCTGTTTGCCCCTGTTTTCAGTCTTAATGCTAAGCTCAGGTATCAGGCTGCTGGCAGTAGCCTTCTGTTTAATGCACGGATATGAGAACTGTATCGATCCTCTCACCTAACTTCTGGCAAGAAAGGCGAGTAAACATATTTTCCAAAATGTGTGAAATCCTGGCTTGACTGATAATGACTCACAATTTTGATAAACAACATGATAAAAACTTTGTTTGTTCACTGAATTGGCCAGTTCCTCGGGAAGCTATTAGATGTTTCACTTTGCCAGCGCCGGCTTTAAGAAACACACGTCCCTGGCTATTTGTATTCATAGAGGCATATTACACACCCGGTGCTCGTGATAGAGAACTGTCTATTTTGCAGTGTTAAAAATAATTGATTATAAACTGCCTGACTGCTGCATGCAAAAACAGCAGGATCAGCCACTTAGTAAACAGTGAGCAGAAGCCAAAACTCGCCTCATCCAGACTGCAGCGGCCCAAAGAAATGAAGCGTCAGCAAGAGTCCGAAGACACAGGGGGTAAACAGAAAGAAGGAGAAGAGCGTGAGCAGGAAGAAGTGAAGGAGAAGCAGATGAAGATGACAATGATGCAGAGGAGGAGGAGGAGGAGGAGGAGGAGGAGGAGGAGGTCTAAGGGGGAGAAAAAAAAAAAGACAAAGCACAGCAGAGTGAGGAAGAGGAAGGAAATGAGGGAAAACAATGAAGCAGAGGAAACTTTTCAAGAAGCAGAGGAAGTAAGAAGAAGCATGATGCTCAAAACAAAACAAATCAACTAGCTAAATTGGATAAACGGAAGGATGAATACATGCAAAGACGGGAATTAAGGAGAGGAAGTGCAGAGAAATGTGCAATGAACAGACAAAACAAAAACAAAAAGGAGGGCTGCAGTAAGAAGAAGCAGCGAGTGATTAGGAAGAGGCAGAAGGAGAGACGTACAGTATATGTCAAAAAAAAAGAAGAGGAGAAGCAGAGAAAAGGCAGCAGAGGAAGATGTGGGCGAAGAAGTGTGGAAACACAAGAAGAGAGAGAAACGAGGCAGCTGAAGAAGAAATATCGCAGAAAAAGGGACAGAAGAATCAGAAAGAAAAGGTTAAGACGAAACCAAAAAAAGACAAAGTAGGTGTACAGAAAGAAGAGGGTGGAAGAGGAGGAGGAAGGGAAGAATTCACACGGTTATAACGCCGATGAGGCCCAATCTGTCAACGCTAACAGTGCT